TTTTCAGTTTTCAGTTAAACTTTTCACTAAATGAATTGTTTACCAAATTGTTTAGTGATATACATATTTTCCCTTTATTTCCTTTTTATTTATTGAACAAATGTTTGTTGTAGAAGTTTTAAGAGTAGAACAATCTATTCATCTGCCTTAAAAAAAAAAACTAATCTTCTTTAAAACAAATATAATTTTCCCTCCTTTTATCTCCTATGTTATCCTTTGAGCATCTATTTAAATAACTTTATGACTTCACACTGTTTCGAATTTATAATCTGACTGTGTTTGGGTTTTATCAAATCCTTACGATGGGTATACCAAATGCTGCTGAATGGATTTTAAGCAGGTGCCTAAGTCTTCAATGTCTTAACTTCATGTTGAAGAATCCTCCTGGTAAAGTCCCTGAGCAGAAGATATTAGTGAGAGACTGTGCTAATGGAGGTCCCAAGAAACTCCCCATCATTTGCATTATGGTAACTGAGTATAAAGGATATCAGCACCACTCAGTTTTGAAGTAATATCTGTTTGCCCATCTCAGTACTCTCAATGAATAATTTTGTGGCTGGAGCAGGCTCACAGCAGATTGATGATTGATTATTGTGGTCATAATTCACCTCACCTACCTTTACATGTCTGCAGAAGGGATGTCCTCATTCGAACTATCTATCCCAGCTGTACGCTTTTTGCAATACAAAAAGGAAAAAGTGTCTCTAGGCCAAGATTCCTTTTACTTGTTTCCAAACCCTATTTTAGGATGAGATGATTCATGGTCTGGAATAATCTATTTGTTTCCATTAACTATAAAGAAATCTTGGAAATCTAACATAATTGCAGATGCCTACACTGAAGACATCTGCGTTTGGTCTGATGAAACTCACTTGCTGACCGCCAAAGACCAATTAATGAATAAACCATGGTACTAGCATCCTAAAGCTCTGGAAGACTCAGACTGAAGAGATGAACTCACTCTATGTATTTCAGAATAACAGAGTGCAATTAATATAAAAGATATACATTTACCCTCTTTCTTTACTGAAATTATATAATCAGAGGAAAGAAAAAAAAAAGACAACCTATGAAAAAAAGAAGCAATAAAACATACATGATTTGAAAATGTTACTTTTTCTAGAAGTTCTAAATAACAGCAGTTTCCATGTGTTTTCTGAAGACACCACAAACTTAAGGTCCGAGCCACAATTTCCAGTTATATCTGTCACTGAATAATTATCAACTATTATTTATGGTTTACCTACAACTGTACTGACAAGACCCAGTGACAGATTTGGATTCCGCTGAATCAAGTTCTGGAAAAAATTGCAACACTGAGAAAACCTCACAAACAATCCCTGGTCTAAAATATTTGGAATATAAATATTAAATAGAGGCAGTATTTCACAGATGTAGGAGGACAAGAAAATAGCAAGATGACCATGATACAAGTAAGAAATATATACTGTAATGTATGTCACTGTAATGTAGATGTGTGAAACTCTTTATGTAAGAAACAGGAAAAAAATGTTTTCAAATTTCAAGGCTGTGGATATCGTGCATGATGAAAATAAATGCAGAAAATGTGTACCTTTATCTGGCCTTTTTCACATGGCTCACTGCAGACTGATCTGATGATATTATTTTTCTCTGACCATACTTCATCATCATCCATTTTCAGCTCACCATTGTCCCAGCTGCCAACATTGATATAGTCAAAATAGTCCTTCCCCATTTTCTTGAAATTCATGATTTCATACCTTTGGAAACACAAAGTGGAGATATAGATCATTTTAGGAAAATATCACTAAATATTTTGAATTGAGGGAACATTATACAGTCAAAAGTAAGCTGATTAAAATAAACAAGGAGAAATTCCATTTGTTATGCTGGTCCTTGAGTCTCTCCTGATAATTCCTGCGATTTTGCCATCTTCCTTTTTCTTTGTATTTTAATTGAAAGTGCTGTGCAAACTTTGGGGTTAATTAAATGATTATTTGTAAACTACTGTGCTTTTATTTAAGGAAAGCAGTGAAGTGGCCCAGACAAGATTTATTCTGCCTAACTTTAGGCATTTAAGCAATGAACCTGAGTTGTTCTAGACTCCCTCTACAGGTAATGCAGAAAAAGGTATATGCACAGAGGTAATTCCCATTGTCAAGTGCTTCTTGCTGTCTGCAGGTGGTTATTACTCTCTTTAAAAAGGGAACCTGAAGGCATCTGAGGTCCTAAAACAAGGTAGAACAGATCTAAGTCTGAGGGAACAAAAATACTTCATGTGCTGGAAGACTTCATGATATAATTTGGTTTGGCATCCACATAGCAGTCTGGCACACACTCACTGTTTGCTGCATGGGAAGCATCCAAACAGGATTCGGGGTAGCAGGATGTCCTCTAGTACTAGTCAGTCAGTCACAGGACATCTTAAATCCCACCTGTCTGCATCTTGCTGGAATCTCAGAGGGGTTTTCTTACTAAGAACAAAAGCCTAAACCTTGAGCTGGATTCTAGGTTTTCTTTGAATAATGAAGCAGAAAATCCCTCTATATATTTTATTATTTCATTTCATTTCCTTTCCTTTCATTTGTTTTGTTTTATTTTGTTTTGTTTTGTTTTAACTGCAACAAATGCTATCTCCACCCCTTTCCCCATCTTGCATTTTTCTGTGATACCTCATGGAGAAGAACACACTTAATTCCTCATAGAGTACAGTATGGAAGGGACAGGAAGAAGATATAGATGCCTCACTGCTGTGCTACTAAGGGGTCTAACTCACTAAGCCTCCTATGAGTTATGCCGTCTTTCCTGTCCTAAAAGTCACTTCCTTTAGCAATTATTTGTAAAAGATGCTTGATAAAATTGTGCAGGTCTGGAAATGATAGTGTCATCATTTTCCTTACCTCTTCTTTAGCATCTCTTGAAGCAAATTGATTAAGCAACATTTCACATAAGGTTCACAGATGAAAAATAAACAAACATATAGACCAAAAAGTAGAACACAGCCATACGTTTAAACACCTGCCTGATCTGCAAATGAGAAGCCAACTTTTTTCCTGGCAGCAGGCACCAAATGAGTCCCCAGGTCAAAGCTTGGAGACAGAGTTGGATAAAGATTTATATTATCAGAGTAATGCGTGAAGTTCAATAAACATTTAACTTAAAGAACAAGCACTATAAATCAAACAGTGTCTTTTTTTACTCTGTTTACTGCTCTGTTTGAGGAAATTCTTCAGGAACTGGCAAGGAGCAGGCACACTAATGTTAATATATTTCCCAGGTTGTCATGAAAAGATTAACAATAAAATTCTTCTATGACAAGTATCACAAGTAGAGCTTGACTGGATGGGTGGTATGGCATGGTCTTGAGTTTTCCAGAGATAAGAAATAAGCAATGGAACAGCTAGGAAGAAGCTTTGTGTTTTGGAAAAATTTCCATTCTGTATAAAGTAGGAAATGTCTACACCTTTGAGACTCTTGTGCACCTGAAAGTTTGAGATATAAGTGCCAGACTGGCACAAACGAGTTTAATTCCAGATAACATATACACACAAACAAACTAGTCAGTTTTAGACATTATCAAATAACTCTCTTTTTTTCCTTTGTGGTTCACAGTCTGTTCAGGGTTAAACGTACTAACTAAAAAATGAGCCTAGAAACCCCCGTGGAGCCTTTATTTGCCTTGTTTTCTAACATTTTAACACTCCTGGAAGTGTCTCTCTGTTAAATCTTTCAGTTCAGAGTTTTATGGGCAGATGAACAAAATTGCTGCCAATGTTTAACAGGCTGCTAGAACGAAAACTATTATCTCTCCAGTAGCTGCAATCTAGTTCCATGAGTACATCCCATGGGGAATACTGGAAAGAAAAATAACAAATTAAATATATCTATTGCTTCAATATATTGTGTCTCTCACAAGCCCTCTTCAGGCAGCCGGATTAGAGGACTGTCAGTAAAAGCTAGGCTTGATAAATCCATTGACCATTGCTGCATTGGAGGTTCATGAGTCACTGGTTCCCTGAGGCTACTTTGAGATACCACAGGGACAGTTTTCTGCCTTAGGACAAGAGACACCAGATGGTGCAAAAACACATTTCCAGCAGGGCCCTAATCGCAGTGAAGAAACACTTGTTGCCAACTCATTTTTAAAGTAGAAGTGCTATGAAGTTGTTGAGAACTTGTATTTTATCAGTAGCACATAACCAAAATATTAATATCTTTATTTTCATATGTTTTCTGGACTTCTCAATTTCTTCCTTAGATGATCTGTAATAATTACACATTATCTTGCCCGCCCCAAAACAATCAATCAAACAAATAAACAAACCAAAACAAAACAAGGCCCACGGACATTCCTTCCTTCCCTATTTATTTGCTTTTTCCGTGTCTCTTGTCCTACCCAAAGGAGCCCCTCCACTAGACTAGGTCTGCTTAAAGCTAAGCATACACAGAAAGGACTTTGGCATAGAGACAGAATTTGAAGTGTCTTGTGGCATTGACAATCAGTTGTATTATTGTATATAAAATCAAAACCTTTTATCACACATGGAAATCTTGAGATATCAAGGTCAGAAAAAGCCTGGATTTTTCTTTTTCTTTTTCTTTTTCTTTTTCTTTTTCTTTTTCTTTTTCTTTTTCTTTTTCTTTTTCTTTTTCTTTTTCTTTTTCTTTTTCTTTTTCTTTTTCTTTTTCTTTTTCTTTTTCTTTTTCTTTTTCTTTTTCTTTTTCTTTTTCTTTTTCTTTTTCTTTTTCTTTTTCTTTTTCTTTTTCTTTTTCTTTTTCTTTTTCTTTTTCTTTTTCTTTTTCTTTTTCTTTTTCTTTTTCTTTTTCTTTTTCTTTTTCTTTTTCTTTTTCTTTTTCTTTTTCTTTTTCTTTTTTCTTTCTCTTTTTCTTTTTTCTTTTTCTCTTTCTCTTTCTCTTTCTCTTTCTCTTTCTCTTTCTCTTTCTCTTTCTCTTTCTCTTTCTCTTTCTCTTTCTCTTTCTCTTTCTCTTTCTCTTTCTCTTTCTCTTTCTCTTTCTCTTTCTCTTTCTCTTTCTCTTTCTCTTTCTCTTTCTCTTTCTCTTTCTTTCTTTTGCTGCTTCTTTTTCTTCTTTTTCCTTTCTTTTTCTTCTTTTTCCTCTTCTTTTTCTTCTTCTTCATCTTTTCTTTTGGTTCTTTTTCTTCTTTCTTTCTTCATTTTTTTATTTTTCCTTCTTAACATCACCAATATCACATTATAGCTGTGGGGATTTCAATTTCCATTTTCAAAGCTGTTACTGTTCCCAAAAGTGAACAGGGAAGACGGGTTATTCTAGTGTGACTGCACCATTTCCCAGCTTCTGCAAATGGCATTTGACAGCACTCAGAGGACTAGAAAGTACTCAAAACTTGGGAATCAGGCATGGAGCTCCCTGAAAAACCTTCTTTGTGATTTTTGAAGAGATTTTTGACTAAAATGAATTTGATGATTGTCTATCATTGTGAAATATAAGACAACAGACCAACGTCTCAAAAGTAACCAAGTTTTGTGAGAATTTTGTCCCCATGCACAGTGAATTACTTTGAGCGCACAGAGCACTACTGCATCTCCCATGAGACTGGGCTGTTTGAAAGTCATATCACCCGGTGGTGCATAATCAGTGGAGAGTCCATTTGCTCTTCACTGAAATGCTGAATGCTCTACTGTAACTGAGCAAGTGACAGTATGTGATATAATTCCTTCATTATCCTCTTAAAATTAAATAAAAGCAACACAACACCCACCCCAAAACCAGTTAAATTCTTTGCAACAAATGAAATGAAACCATTATTGTTAAGCATGTGAGACTTGAGAAAGATGTAAAATTAACAGTCTGTTTGCAACATGTAAGTGTTCTCATTGGTTTATTATCATTCCACATAACCATTTGTTTACTATGCACAAATTGGTGAAACAGAGAGAGGAATAATGTAGGACAAAGTCCACTGCATTTAACCATCTTCAAACCAAATAGAAATCTTTTGTCAGAAGTTGGGGTTTAAGCCTTTGAAAAATATTGTTCAGAAAAATCTAGATTGAGCTTTTTTTCTTTTTTTCAAAGAATTCAGTTTTTTTTAAAAAATACAGACATTTAAGAGAAGACAATCTTGCTCAACAAACCAGTTCTGAAAACATAAATTAACTTCAAATAAAGTCTCAGTGTGCTTCCTTGAAGTCGGAGTCCTGAAGATTTCTAAAATGTGGGTCTCCAGAAAACTAGTTCATCCAGACTGCTTTACAGGTGAGTGCCCTGTTATCTTTTGGGGATAATGCTGACATTACAGGGTTTTATATAAAATAAATAAATTATAAAAAAAAAGAAATCAGTTTTCAAATATCAGAATGTTCCAGTCAAGGGAATTACCTTCTCCTGCCCAGCTCTATTCTGAAGTTAATATTTTTATTTAACTTCATATTAGGAGGAGAAGCCAAACTTAAATAATGAGTGCATTTGACACTTTTCCCTCTCACCGTCTGTTTACACAATTTCATCAGGAAGTTATTTAAAATGTTCCGAATAATGTGGACAGAAAGAGCCACCTCAGTCAAACTGGTGCAAATGCAGTGAATGAGACAGGGATCCACCCACTGAACTGTGAGAACCCATAAGTATACTTTGGGTGCTATCACACTTGCTGTTCATTTGCTAACAGCTCAGTAAGCAGAAACCTAGAAAAAAGACTTATTATTCCTTTTAATACATATTTTTGTAGGGACAAAGCATATATGCATATTCCATATGAAAAAAGAACTTCCACTATGTTTTATATGTGCATATTATACATACATATATGTGAGTTATCAGCAAAGCATATTCGTTTCATTAAAATTTGGCTCATAGCAACACAATTTGAATCAATAGCTTAGTCTGTAATGTATGTGCAAAAGGCTTTAACTGGAAGGTAATAAAGTAGATTTATAATATAATTAAGATGGAAAAAGAAATCCCATAAAAATCAATGTATGTTTTCAGTATTGTTCTAGCTTTCCCTTAATAAATGAAGTAAGTCCAGGCAATTATTCATATAAAAACTGTTTACCACTCACTCAAACACATGTGCTTAAAGACCTAAAAAGAGAGAACAATCTTATGGTCATCAAGGTCTATGAGTATAAAGTCATATAAATAGAAATTAAGTCATATATCACAGCCCGTGAAAATAAGGTCATATATATACAACAGTCATATACGTATATGGTCATAGATCTGACTGTATATAGCCATTGCATATTTGACTAAGTAAAAATATGTTTATAGACAGTCATACGTATCTATAAACACAAAGATTGTTTTCCAGTGAGACGTAATACCTTTAAAAAGTACAGTTTAAAAAGTAAATCTGTGCAGGCAGATCGTAGGCCTCACTGCTCATGTCTTTTTTTTTCCAACCATAGTTATAAACATCATGCAAAAATACACATCAAAATAGTTAATATTGGACAATCAAACAAGCAAGCCAGGAAATGCTGCAATAAAATTATGAGATCTTAGTTCTGACGTTAATTGTGGGTATCTGTTAAGTAGAATTAACATTTTGGTTAATAAATATTGGAACAACATTAACTTTACCTTCCTGGTGAGTCGCCATTCTCATCGAACAAGATCATGTCCCCAGAGACCCCGGTAAAATTTGTCTTCATGAGGGACTCCAGGAGCTTGCGGCCGTCGATGGGCTTCATGGCGTCGCAGAGGCCCACGTAGCCCGGGCACAGCGAGGTCTGCATGTTGTGCAGCCCGTACGCCATGGAGTAGATGGCGTTAATCACAAAGCCCATTTTGGAGTCCTGCACGTGCTGCGTCCTCAGGGTCATCTGGCCTGTGGAGAACAAGACAGATTGGTGGGTTCGTCACCAGCTCTTCAGACAGCTGGTGGCTTGGTTCTGAATGGTGGAAAATGTCTTCTTAGGAGCTTCAAGAAGGTCATAATGTGACACTTGCATTAGCACCCACACGTTTTTTTAAGAAAGAAATGAAAGAATAAGTACTTTTAAAATGCAGTCCTATCGAGCTTTCTCTGTGCCACTCCACACCTCATTTACACTGTTTTCCAGCTACTTCTTGTCCTTTTTATTCTTTTTAATCTATCACTACTACTATAAAGCAGCATCTCAAGGATGCCAGGAACTCATCATAGCTTGCAGAGGTCTCCTAAATCTCAGAATTTTCTTCTGCTGAATACTGAAGGTGTAAATCTTAGTGATGGTGCATCCAATAGCAATCTTGCAGATCATATTTTCATTTGAGAGATATGAGAAACCAATCCTGTGTGAATACTCTGACTAAGGCACAGCTTCTTTGCTGTACTGAAAGTTTCTTGTGCTAATAACTCTTTAACTTCTAAGTCCCTTGTACCTCTCCATTTGCAGAATGGGGCTAACGGTGAGATTCAGGGGAATACATTCAAATGTACACAAAGAGCTTGATGATGTGGCGAATATCAGCCATGTCTTCTCCAGTGCCTTGTGTTTGTCCAAGCCAGAACAGGTTAACTTTACTTTGGCTTTTCAAATATTATTTCTGCCTTCCTGTTTTTAATTCAAGCACCTGTGAAATGCACAGTAAAAATTCCTTCAACAGCACCCTGAAGGGCTCTTTTATAAGCCAAGGTTATTAATGACATGGATTCACTCCATTGGCAGCACTGGTCCCACTCAGGAAAAGGAGGCTGGAGGTTTTCTGCCTCATCTGCCAGCTGCAGTTGCTTCTCATAATAACCTGTGTACTGATAATATATTTCTTTTTTTCTTTTTTTTTTTTCTTAAAAGAAAGAGACTAACACACAACTCTGAGCCTGGCCCTGATGCCATTCACTGCTCTACATCCCGAAATTAAGCACCTTGTCTGATTTCTATGCACCTTCAGTGGAGATGAATAAGACTGTCCAGGACGAATGATTCTGTTGAAACTAGGTACATCTATAAGCTGCCCTTTTTGGAGAATGAGGGATAACATCACTAGGCAGAACTAGTCACTTGAAACATCCAGGAGTGCCAAAAAAGCCTGGAGGGTAGCAGAGATGCGCAGCCCTTATTAGCATTGAAAATGACTGTATAGAATTAAGTAAGTGAGGAGTGAAAAAAAAAAAAATCTCCTTTCGTTTGGTGCTAGAACTGGCACTTCCAGTTCCAGTCCATCTCAGGTGCAGTGATTAATACTTTCAATATTCAAGTAATATGAGCTGCAAGGATCTATAATAGAATAAAAACTCAGAAAGAACACAATGTTCCTCATCTGTTCCATTCTAGCAAGGTATGGCTTTTTTCCTAATTAAAAATAATAGGCATAAAAACTGCAACAATGGAGTACATGTAAAACTAATATTAATTGAAATTAAGTGGAAAATTGAACAAGCATATTATGTTGCAACACACAAAACTTTAACCAATTATTCGTCCTCAAAATTAACTGCTCACAAACAGTGCAGCTAATTATAGTAGCCATTAGAATGAATCAGATTTGCATCAGCAATAGTATTTATTATGAAAAAATATTTCAGCTGTTTTATTTCATATGATTGTTTAAAAATTTAATAACTTAATTCTTACAGGAACACTCTCCCTTGTGCTTCAGATTTAGAGAATTATTATTCTGACTTCCTTTAAGCATTCAGTCTTATTCAGTGCACCTGATAATTTGTAATGAGGCTTTTCGCTCTTCACGGAAGCTGCTAGCAATTGTCAATGGAGTTGTAAGGGAATTAGCCCTTGCAAGAATTTTAATGTAATTTCTGTAGCTGAAGAAAATATTACCCTTCAATACTAACTGGCTCACGTTATTCAACAGGCACAAATCGAACCTGCCAAATCAGACTGTTACTGAACAGTACATAAAGACTCTGTAATTAAAGGATTTTTTTTTTGCTCTTTAATGTACAACAGTGGTATCTTTAAAAATCTAGTGTTTAAAAATAAATCATTTAATCATTTGGTCTATCTGAAAGCAGTTTTCAACCCCGATTTTTCAATGTTCTGAAGTATATAAATAATTATATGGACCTCAGGAGTCTTATCAGTGGACCTAAGTAATGACTTTTATATGGACCTCAGGAGTCTTATCAGTAATGACTGAATTCACAAATTAGGAGGTAACCTATGATTCAGAAAAAAATGCCAAAATATTTTAAATTGCTCTCTACAGTAAGTATGCATTTGGCAGCCTTCAACATCCAGTTCACTTAAACAAGAATTAGCTCCTCTTGTCTTCTCTGGTATCCAAATTTGTATGCTTCAATTCATTCCCAAGTGCTATCTGCAGTCAAGACACCTTCCTGTTTCATATGGTTGTCATGAGATTGACCAGTAGCAGTTATGACTTTAGTCATCCTGAAGTCAATCACATTTGATAAAACTGACTTTGTAGTTTAACTTTTAATCAAGAATAATGTAAAGTTCTAAGAGAAGTTGGGGAGTTCCTACAGAGTTACTAGGCAGAAGATAAAAAAATACACACTGCAACCTATGTGCTTGTTTAACATATGCATAGTAGAATCATATTTTAGGTTAAATTCGAGAAGAATTTCCATAAGAGATCTCTTTTTCTCCTCTTTGCACTTTCCCATAGCAGAAGAATTTACAAAGGAGGAACTAAAGATATTTTGTTTTTCCTGAGGGTTAGAAAGAGCCAGTGTGATGCCAATTTGTCAGTCAATGGAGACAGATGTATGCAGGCAGCAATGTGTGTTGACCAGGCCCAATGTTACATTTTGTAGGTCTCCAGTGGATTTTTATTGCAGTTTTGACAGACTTAAGTATCTATGCTGTGCTAGGCTTGAGGGATTTCTTTCTGGTGCAGAGCTTATTTGTTGTTTGGGATAATGCCAAACTATTTAGGGATCTGCACTGAATCTGGTGGTTATGCCCAAATGATTACAGAAAGTAATCTGTATTGTGATACCTCAGAACAATAAATATTACAGATCTGCCATGCTAAATAATGCAGGAATAAATAATTCTGCCTCCGACAGTTAGGATGTAGAAGACAATGGAGGAAAGCAGGGTGAATCAAATCACACACAGCCAGAATGGGGAAAGGATTGCAATATTCAACACCAGGAGAGATCAAATATTGCAGAATTCCCTGCCTTCAGAGTAAGATATGAACGCAAACCTTGAGGAGAAATGAGGTAATCTGCATAGTCAGAACATCTGAATATATCTTTGACTTCTCTTGTGTTTATTCCTCAGTCTTTCACACCCATGCAATTTTGGTAAGTAAATAAGGGCTTATCCTACCGTTCTCTTGTCAGATCATGAGGCAGTTTTGGGTCTGAAGCTGCGTAGGCATTTCAGTCTGCAAAGCATTACACAGGCAAAGCCTGTGCCTTCTTAGGTAAATTAAATAACCCATCAGAGCTTCAGGTTCCCATCTAATAATATTTTTATCCTAACTGGCATTTCTCATCAGTGTACCATGCAAGGAGCATTCTATCAACTCGATGATATTGGATTAGTTCCAAAATGAAGATAAAATTATTCTGTATTTCACAGAAAAAATAACTGTATCATTTATTCTAGTTACTCTATGATAGATATGATATAGTTATAATAGTTACTCTATCATTTTAGATATCTATAATATAACAAGAGGAAAAAGCCTCAGGTTATGCCAGGGAAGGTTCAGGTTGGATATTAGGAAACCTTTTCACGTAGTGGTGAAGCGTTGGAACATGCTGCCCAGGGAAATGGTGGAATCACCACCCTGGCAGTGTTCAAGAAACATGTAGATGAGGTGCTTAGGGACATGGTTTAACAGGTGTGGTGTTGAGAGTCTTACAGTTGGACTTGATGATCTCAAAGGTCTTTTCCAACCATAATTATTCTATGATTCTATGTAGTGGAAAATATGTAACTTCCCACTACTGGAAGAGATGCTTAAAAACCTACACTGCTTTGTTACTCAGCCCCTTAAAGAAGGGCTTGGGGCAATCCAAAGGGGTCTTCAGGTGTTGCCCTCCAGCTGAGACAACCTGCTAGCTCTGGCTGGGCAGATGGACAAGGTTGTCCCCAAAGCAGCCTTGGCCCCTTGCAAACACTCCCCAGTGTTTGCAAGGGATAACACTCCTTACCCAAATTTGTTTTTTTCTGTTGTCACTTCCCCAAAATCCAGCATGTAGACAATAGGAAAGAAACATGTTCTTCCACCACAAAAGTAATTGCACCTGGCAATACTTTGCTTCTTGGCTCTATTTAAAAACAATTAGTGAGCTTTTGGGCCCCGATCCAAGAGAGCACTTAAGGACACTCATATTCCCGGTGGAAGGTGGTTCGTTGTGTGGGAACCGCTGCACATCTGTCATGCTCCAACATTTCCGGCTCCCGCACCGGCTCCTTTCTGGAGTACAGTGCCAGGCTGTGGCACCTCATGGGCTCCACCTCATGGACACAGCACCAGGCACCTGCTGGATGTGCTGTGCAGGGCCCGCTGGTGGGGAGCAAACAATGCCCCAAAGTAAAAAAAAAAAAAGATATCTCCCCCAAACTCAATTTAAAAAGAGAAAATCTTTAGGGAAATTCTGAAAAGTCATGGTTTCTTCTGCTACTTACGATGCAAATAAAATTTTTGGAAAGTATTCTTTACAGAGTTCTTTACTTTGCAGTGTTTTTTGATGTAAATTCTTTTGTTCCAGTCCTTTTTCTACCTTTTACCCCCAAGGAAGATGGCCAAATTACCATGGTTCAATAAGCTTTCTGCTGCTTTCTAACTCTTCCAGAGCTAACATTACTTTGAAGTTTGAAAAATGAAGAAAAAGATAAAGAGAAGAGTAAAAAAGTTTCAAATCTCAGGCAGCCTCCTTATTTCATTTAAGGAGGAGAAGCA